ACTTATGAAATTAAGGCCTTAGTGACTCCCTTTTCATTGGGTCTCTTTTCAAAGCTAACCTAAGCACCTAGAATATTTTCAAACCTGAATAACAGGACATCCGGGAGGTCCAAACATCTGTCTGACTTTGCCGTATCTCTTGGTGGTGGTGATCTGCCATGCAAGCTGCTTCTAAACTTTTCCTTTTGGTGGAGCTAATCTGGTTTTTACAATGGTATATGTGGTATATACATATTTCTATGTGTGATTATGGCATAACCATATGACACTATTAATGCGTTTTTTTTCATGTTTCTAATTCCCTTGATTATTCACAAAACTCTCACGAAATGCTTCCAATTTTCCATCAGACATTTTTTAAAGTTTATTAAGATCAAAATACATAATCATCCTCATTTATTGCTATATTTCATTAAGTGCACGTGCCGCCCATAACCCAATCTGAAAATCATGTATGTAGCGTCTTTCTCTGATAATGTGCGAGTGTAAATGTATGCAAAGTACAAAATTAAGGCAAGTAAGGGTTTGTTCACTTAACTTTTAGTTATTCACTATGATACAAAATTGCAACAAATTGAATATGACATTTAAAATTTCAACTGATTTGGAGGAAGAATCTTTAATTCAACTTTTGTATTACAGTTTGATTATTTTAGTTTAAAGTTAGCATTTTGACTACAGTTGACTACGAGTTGGTGTTTAGTAAAAAAAAAAAAAAAAGGATTGATTTTAAATTAAATGATTAAATAAAAAGACATCCAACACGTATACTTGAATTAATTTTGACTGGATTCATTTAAAGAGAAATTTGGATCCTCTGCTAAACTCCACTCTGTCAGCATTTATGAATGGTAGGTAAAATAAAAGGATCTGATGAGGAACAACAATAACCACCTATATTTTCATGATGGAAACAGATACAGTTCTTTTTTTAATACAGAGGGTTAACATCACGCGTCTAACCCATCTGTGCATGTGCCACCCCAAAAAAACAATTCATGGTGCCCAGAGGGAGTAATTCATTACCATAATCACTGGCTCCGTCAAATAACGCTTTAGTCTAATTAATATTTAAAGTTCATTTAAATATTTATAGGCTTGCACACAGCTTTTTTTTTTTTTCTTTTTTTTTTGCGATGGCTTTTTACACTTTGCTTTGCCATCAAGGACTTTATCTAACACAACAAGTAACAAGCGCCTTTTCATTGTCTGCCTTTGCTGGGTTGAAATGTGTGTGTGTGATTTGAATGTACACAGCTGATGCAGATTCTCTCCCTAGAATGGGTAGCAGATTAAGATGAAAGTCAGTAGTGATAAAGGAAAGCAATTTTACTTTCCTAACTTCGGGGACTCTATTTGTGTGGCATTATTTGTATGTGATTCAGCTATCTAGACATTTAAACAAAATTACAATAGATACAAATAAATGGCACAACAGATGATTTAAAGCACAGATAGCTTGTATGCATGCAACCGGGAAAGGCTGCTCTTAAGTTCTCCATTTTATTTCTTTATTTTTTTTTTATTCCTCTTCTGTTATCATGCCTCCTCCAATTGATGTTCTGCTTTTTTTAATGTTTGCTTGCTTGTTTGTTTGTTTTTCCTTATTTATTTACCTGTCTGTATAATGGAATTCTTTTTTCTTTCTTGTAGATATTCAGATCCTTTTTACCAATTGGTCCCTAAAAGGAATATTTTCATTTTATACTTTACCAGTTGTTTTCTTATTCTGACTTATGTAGATTTGAAAAATGTGTTTATAACGGAGATGGAGACTGTGATCTGGATTTAATAAGCTTTCAAAATGACTCAATATTGCAAGAAAAACTTTCCAAATGATTTATCTACTTAAGTCACCAGTAAAGTCTACAGAAATGTTTGTAGATAAATAATTTGGAATTTATTCTAACAGTGTTGGCTAATTTGGAAAGTTTAATAAAATAAAACTTATGTGGGGGGATATTGGGCTATGAGGCATAGTCCAATGGTTCTTAACTCAAAAAAAATGGTCCACTTGTTATTTCATTGAATGTCTAATGGCTGGAAAAGGCATATCAGAATATATCAGATCTGCACAGTTACTGTAAACTACAGTGCTGGTGGAGTTTTCCATACATATGTAGCATCACAAAGGGGCAAATAGAACAGCTTGTGGTGTACTCTTTCATTAAAAAACACAAATGAAACAACTTGTGAATGGAAGTCTTCAGATTTAATTAGCTTTATTGAGTAATCATTTTAATTAAAACTTAGTATGTGTTCGTTCCGAAGATAGATGGATGGATAGATATATAGACAGACAGATAGGTAGATAGATTACAGACAGATTACAGACAGATTGATGTATAGTTTGAGTGATAGATAGATAGATAGATAGATAGATAGATAGATAGATAGATACCGTGATAGAGCGAGAGATAGATAGATGGATACCAAAAATAAAAGAGTATGAGTGAAGGGCAAGATTGAAGAAAAAAAAGATAAAAAAGAAAGGCAGATAGATTGAAACAGCTAAAGGTTTTCCAGATTATGCATTATTTAAACTCCTTGCCAAAATTAAATTAAAATATAATTGCATATTTCTAATGTGATCTCAACAGCATTTATTGTTGCTCTGTATATGACAATATATTGCGGTCACGTCTGCATATTTCCATTTGCTATGCATATTTCCCATATGTTGTTTTCATCCCATCAAGATGCCTTTTGTGGAAGATATTAAAATATCATTATGTCAACACGCATCCAATAAAGCAAAACTTGACTTTGCAGCATTAGACCGTAGAGAATTCATGAATGTAAGATCCAAAAACAGTGTAACCTTCTTTGAAAGTTCTTTCAAAATATATGCACACATTTCAAGCACGGCAACTGTTTGTATTCTCTGGGATATTTCACCGAAGAAGATAAAGGATCGACATTAGCACTTTTCATCAATTATACGGCACCAGGACTAGAGCACTCACTCAATACCATGGACATTTTTATAGCCACTTAACTGACTTCATAAGTTTTTATGGGCCCCAAAATTTTTATTCAAAATAGGTTATTCCTTTTTCTTTATAAAACGACACATATTTGCTGTCAGCTTTTAACTGTAACGCTACCTATTAATTAGTTCATTTGTAACCTTCTCTCCTTGAACATCTTTATTTATATATATATATATTTTTATAATCCTTTCAATGTGCACATTTTAGATCATTCACTTGTCTTATAAATCTAAACTTTTCAAATATCAGTGTAAAGTTATTATGGGTGAGAAACATCAATTTGCCTTTAATCAATATATGCCGTCAGCGCATTAAAAATTGATATCTGTGCAAAAACAAATTTTTTTATGATGTATTTAGTTAGGACCATATTTGTATGAATACACCATTGAGAGTATCATCTTCCCACACTCATCTGATAAATATCGCTGTGGTAGTATACAGTTTGAACATAATTCATCTCAGTAGGGTAAGGAGAGTGCTCCACTACTTGACCTGAGCAAAATGCTTAAGGGGTGCTTCCAGCCCTATAACAATTAAAAATCAGTATCAAAATAACTGCAAGAACTAACTTTTAAAAACACATATTGATTATCTAGACCACAAGATGTGCCTGTAAACTAGTGAAAAACGAAATGATTTTTATATTATTATAACATTTGGACATTGAGAGAAATAAATAATTACTGTGAGCAGATCTAGAAAATTGAGGTTAATATCATAAGAGCAGGCCTCTTATGGACCTGACACATACAGTGTACATTGGCATTGTGGCAAGCTTATGCAATGTATGTTCATATACTGTAACTACATCCCCATTATTTTTCCTGTAGTAAAGTGTTTTGGTTTTTTTAAAAAAACAATGCATTTTGTGAGTGTTGTATAGTGAGTGCATGACTGCAATGGATTCTGTATGAGATAGATAGAGTGATAGATAGATAGATAGATTTCCCTTTGACCTTTGGATGCTCTGAATGGCCAGGTTGCTGAATACCTAGCCACCTTTGGAATAAGAAAAAAATCCTATAGAAGTCTAGGAAACTTAAATCAGAACGAGCTGGCAAAATTAAGAGAACACTTCTAATGTAGCACCACAATTGTCAGTGTGAAAGCTGATAATTAAATCGAACACATCACTAAAAAAAACTGAAAAATAAAATAAATATAAACTCATGTATGACAGTTATACCTTGCCTGTGTTCGCATATTTGTCAAACTATATCTCAAAGATTAGCAGCCGAAATTACTGGAAAGCAAGGCGAGAAGACAGGCGCAAATCAAATTTAAAGATGTCTCGAGGAGAGTATCACATCGGGACTAACTACAAAGCTGGGAGACTAGGAACTGATTTTTAAGTTCTGGAGGGTTTTGTAGGGAAATATTAGTATTAGTATAAGCAAGGGGTAACTTTGCCAAGACATACCCTAAATTTGGCCTAACTGCACTCCCTTTCTCCTCATTATGTTCCAAGTGCACGTTTTGTCAGTTTTGGGTTAGTTTACTGTTAGATGAAGGCAAAAAAAAAAGAAATATATAGTGAAAAATTGCAACCTATGCATATACCAGGCTATCACAGGAAAGATAATTTGCTATATTAAGACTTATTTATTAAGTCCATATCTGCAAAAAATGTAGCAGTGAATTGTGAAAATATACATTGTTTTGTTTAAAATTTTGTATTAGTAAAATAAATATATAATATGACTACATATTGTAATAAATGTTTGATAAAAAAATCTACATGAAATAGGCTGCGTAGCCTATTTTTACTAGGATGGCAGATAGTGCAAGGGAATGGGAGGGTATCAGAAAGGAGAATGACATGGAGAGTGAGGTCAGAAGAGGAACCAAGATGGCAGATCATGCACATACAAAGCCAACCTCAATCCACTCAAGTCCACATTAAACAAAACAATATATTTCAAGAGATTAGCAAACTCAAAAAACAGAACAAACATGCAAGTCATAGTGTAGGACACTAAAACATCATATATAAAAACTATTGTGCGCACAAACTAAAAATAATAAGAGATTCATCACCCACTATTGGGTAAGTTCTTTCTAAATGTTCCTACCAGTTGCTATGATTTTTCAGATATTGTTTCCAAAGAATATGTGGCTATAAATAGAAGAAAGGCAATCTTATCCAGATCATATTCAAATGTAAAAAAAAATCTTCTTGTGCTCACAAAAACAAATAGCATTCAGCCAACATATTAAAAGACCACTGAAGTTGTCCAGTCTACTTCATCTCAATGAAGTGGTCTGGGTGCAGTGGTTCTGTCATTTTAACCTCTCAGTGTAAAACATTGCCATTTTGTAGAAATTTAAGTGTAGATGGAACACCCAAAGCACACTCAATGTATTGAGTGCCATCTGCACCCTTTAAAATATAGCCCAGCCTCATCTCCCACTCATTTTTTAAAATATTTTTTTTTCTGTTTTAGTTTAATGCAGACTAAGGTTATGTCATATAATCCCATATTGCACTATAACCAAACAATTATTAATGTGCAATTCGAAAAATTTATTTAATATGTAACAATGTTTTACCATAACGTTCTTATAATTATCAAGACTTAAACAGGGTTTTTCACTAAAGGCCATTCGGACTGCAAAATCCAGATATTGTTTCCACTATATTACAATTTTTGATTTTTGCATTTTGGGCTCCCAGTGGGTTTGAATTATGTTTCAAATCTGGGTCCAGATCCTTCATATCCGAGTTCTGATTAAAACAATATCTGAACAGTTATCTATGTTATACATGTTTTCTTAGCATTATTGTACTTGTCCTATTGTACTTCACTGTGGAATATGTTAACGATATATAAATAAGCATAATTGTAATTACAGCCACCCTACAGTAAAAATAAGAGACCCTACCAAACCCCTTAAACTAATAATAGGGAGGACTGGATAATAAAACTAATACTTATTAACACAAAATTATAATTACCACCAGGAATGTTATTTTTTTCGAACTAATTTTCTTCATCCCCAAAAAACGCCAAATTAAATTATTATTTTATTTTTTTTAAATGATGGAAACAATTCAAAAATGTGATGCAATAACATGAAACCAAAATAGAAAAGCTGTTTTTTAAACACTCACAGAGAGACACACACTGACTGAGAGACACACACTCTCAATGGCAGACACACTATATCTGACAGACACACTCACTGACAGACACACACTGACAGACACACATATGCACAATCACTGACAGACACACTGGCATACATTCTCAGAAACACAATCTCACTGATTTGAATCATTCCCTGACAGGCACACTCACTGATACACACACAGACACACACACACACACTCACTGACATATAAAAACTCACTGACAGACACACTCAATGACAGGCACTCACTTTCACTGTTTTGAAACACTTACTGACTCTTACTGCCAAACACACTCACTGACAGACACACACACATATAAAAAACAAACACAAACACACTCCCTGACAGACACAATGTCACACACTCTCATTGACAGATGAATTGACACACACTCTCAATGACAGACACACACACGCACTCATTGACTGACACACACTCACTGACAGACACACTGACACACACTCTCACTGATTTGAAACACACTCACTGAAAGACCCATTCACTGACAAACATGCACACACTGACAGACACCCTTGCTGACAGAGACACATCCTGTGCACCCACCCACGATCAGCCCTGACTGCTTTTACATTGTGTAGGAAAATTTGTGAGCCAATCAGAACCCCTTGGCAACCAAAACCAGTATTTAGTGAATAATCCAAATTACTTCTATGATGTCAGTTATGTGAGGTCCAGTTCAGGGATTTAAGTGGTTATGGTGCCTAGAGTCCATGGGTGCCAATTCGCATATCACTACTAAATGGTTTATTTACCATTTAGTAGAGATTGCTAGTGTCCATCAGTCTGGAGCCTGGCCTCCAAAGACAAATGGGCTTTTGTGGACTACAGGCACCCTAACAACTTCAATCCATTGAAGTTATGATGGTGCCTACACATGTCCCTTTAAGTTATTTTAGGTACTTTCATAATTCTCATGTAACCTCATGTCATAATTAAACTATCGGCTAGGGTTAAAGGCTAGTTTTAGGAATATAGGGGTTATATCTAACAGTTTTCATGGATGTTAATATAATTTTATCTAGCATTGATTCTTGAAGAAAATAACATTGCATGTTGAGATTATGCAATTTTTCTATAAAACTTTCTAAAATGGTTGCATAAGTGGTACTCTTACAGGCAAATTATTTTGGAATGATCATGTTTTGTATCTCCTTCCTTTCTCAGCTACTACTTTAGGGACTGGGTTGTTCTGTGGGCAAACAGCATTGTGTCCAAAGGCAGCTGTTATCTCACATTAATGTTATAAAGTATGAAACATCCTATGATGATTTTGCATACCTTATTTAGATTGCAATGTAGGAATACAGGTGCATGATTCAGATACCTGAACCTAGGTAGCCCAACGATACTTGCTATGTCTGTTCTGGTCATATTATTGGTCTCATTGTTCCTCATCTCATCTGTGGATGGGTGATTGGAGTTAGCAACTATGTTCTAGATCTATAGGCAGGATCACCTGTGTGATAGAAGGTAAATGGGTATTATATTGTAATTAGATTTTTTTTAAAATTATTATTATTATTATCATTTATTATATTATTATCAGTGATGATCAGGTTTACATATTTACCCAACAGCCATCCATTCATTACGGAGTTCCCAAACAGAGGTGCTAACCTAAACTACACACACTGCATTTAATCCACACACTGTATCCACTATACAATACTCAAACTGCATCCACTACACAGACACTGAATTCACTACACAGTACACACACTGCATAACAGAATGGATGTGGCTGTGTTTTGGTAGGTGTGGTTTTTGTTGGAGGGGCATCATTTTATCCTTGCACCGAGGCAGCACAATGTCTTGGGCTGCCCCTGCATACAGGTGTTTTAATGATGTTCGACACAGAGGTGTTCGTTTTGATTCATTGTTCCCTATGATGCTGTATATAATCTAATATTGGTGTGTTTATATTTCTGGATATGATATACCATGCCAGGTGAGGATACATTTACTTTAACATTTATTTTGTCAATACATTTTTTCTAGGAATAATCTATTGCAAAAGAGTGGATTCCGCTCAAAAGCAGGTATCTAAAAGTTCAATATTGAAATAATACACAAGTGGTATACATTATCTTACAAAATATATGCAGATATAAAAGTGAAATAGCTAAGGGAATACTATCAATAACATTATGTCAACATTGAGATATGTAGAGATAAATTACATCTTGCCCTGGCTATGCCGTTCTTCAAAGTCTGTAACCAAATCGAATTGTTTCATGTATCTTGGCTTTATTACTAATTCTGAATTATTCACTGAAGTGCAAATTGCCAGCAATTCCAAATATCAGCTTTATTTTTAGATAATTTTTCCTTAAATTTCAAACTCACTTTAAACTACAGTCAATTTGCCCTTCAGTGTATACAAATGTAAACAAACCTTTGCACGGTAAATAATAAGTAATAAGATGACATTTTGGAAGGTACTGATGCCATTCTGGAGGATGCATTGGGTATTTCAAAAGGGAGCCAAAGAAAATGGAAAAAAAAAGTACCCAAGTTAAATAGAAAGTCACTTGTAGGTTGAATTTTTGTTAATACCTTTAGTATGTTTGTAAAATAAGACTTTAATCTGTACCAGAAGCATTATAAAACACACTCACTTTATTAGGTAATCCTGCTCAGTAATTCAAATCTATCCCGCCTTGTTTCAACAGTTTATGCTGATAAATATTTTGTAATGCTTTATAAAGTATTTTCTTGACATACATTAGACATCTTAACACTAACTGAGCATCATTCAAATGCAACAGCTTGCATAAATATTGATGTTGATCATGTGCTTTCCTTTATAACTGCAGTCCAACCATCTTTTAATGTCTTTTTTTCAAGGGGATAATACACAGTGTTCAATTGTACACATCATCTCAAGCAGGTTCCATGAACATGACAATGAGTTCAGTGCACTCCAATTTTAGCCAAAGTCACCAGATCTCAATCCAGTAGAACACATGTGGAATGTGGTGGACCAGGGGATTTCACATGAATATGGTGTCATAAATTCACAGCAATGATATAATGCTAATATATCAAATTGGACCAGAATATCTGAGGGACTATTTTTTGCACGTTAAGTCCCAGCCAATCACAATATGCCTCTGCTATCCTTTATGGCTTCACATGATTTTTGCTACATAAATGTCCACCTTAGACTCCAGTGTACTGAGAGGGTATGTTGAGCATGCCTAGTTAGGATTGGCAGCACAATGGTGAGCTAGACTCAGTCTGGGTTAAAGAGGACTTTGTTATGAATAAAGTCTGGCAGTGCTAGAAATGTTAAGGCAGCAGGTATAAGTATACCACTTACTAGTGATGGTTCTACTTTTTAATGAGACTAAATATTAGGCTTTACAGCAGAAAAAGTACATAAAATGCTTTCCTAGATATAGTTCTGTTGGACCATTTTTACCATAGCAGTTTTGGAGCTAAGCATGAAATATTCGTGTATATAAATATTGCTTTACATTTTACACTTTATACCTCAACGACCTTGGTGAACATGACCTTTTTATTTTCCTTTCCAGTTTCTTGTTATTTCCTGGGTTGAGATATGAACTAAGATTTTCACATTTTCATCAGTACTGAAATAAGACTGTGAACTTAACGCCATAAGGGTGGAATTTGGCTCTTTGACTCCCAGGAGTTTATTTACTAAACCAGGGATTGTAGAGAATTGACAAGTGATTTGCAAGCTTTAAGCCAAAATAAGTCATTTTAAAAAAAATCCTCCAACTTGGCCATTTATCTCCAACTTAGCTATTAAGACCTAAATAATTCTCAGCATTTCCTGATTTAGTAAATGAACCCCAAAGACAGTGATCATTTCATATATCATTATCTTTGAAATAAAATAAAATTTTAGATGCCTTATTCAATTTTTTTAAATAACAGTACAGCTGAGAAAATAATTTCTGGGTTAGAGCAAAATAAAAGCATTTAATATGTATTTTATTGCTTTTCATATTCACATCTTAAAATCCAACTCCAAACATAACAGTAGATGATACCAGGCAGTATACAATAAATATAGCTTGTACCAGGCGCATGCAATACAGCAGATTCACAGCTGCAC